AGCTGTGTGACGATGACAGAAGGGGAGTGATGAGACAAGCGGGATGGAGACCAGGGACAGGGTCTCACTAACTGAGAGAGGGTGGGACGGCCAGTCACCAGCCTGCTGTGTTAGTTTGCCATTTACATCATGTACATCAATAGATGCACATTTTCTCCATGGAAATGAGGGGCCTGCATCCTAGCATTGGACTGCATGTCCTGATGGGAACAAAGGGAAGGAGACTCCCAACTTCCCGCTTCCTCCACCGCATGTTTCCACCTGGTACAGAGCTACCCAGAGGGACCTTCCTTCCCACACTAGCTTGCCTCCACCATCCCTGGCTTGTTGTGGAAGCACTCTACATAGGAATCCCCCAGTCTCCTATCCACCAAGAGGAATATATCTCTGCTGCCAGTTATTTAAGTTATTGGCAATCAGGAACAAATTTTCATGATACAGAAAGAAGCTTTGAGGAACGGGTAGACAGGACTTCTTTTCTACTCTTTCAACTGGAGGGGGGAAAAAAGCAGGACTGTTGTTACAAGAAACCAGCTCCAGTGAATAAACAACCTGTGTGTTGACATTAGTTTATTAATGCATTTAGAATGACAGAAAGTGACTTCGTGCAGGAAATTAGTATGCTTATTTCCTTAATGAATCATTATTGGATATAATCAGTTGGTCTGACGAAATGATGTGTCCTTGATTTTATCGCCCCACTCACATTTATATCTTGGAAATCTTAACCTAATTACATACTCCCAGAAAGAAAAAAAGGAACATGAGTGCCATTTCTTAGTCCCATAAAAGATAAGGTTTTTTTTTAAAACAGTATAATTGATGCCTTTCATTGAAGAAAAATTGGAGATTTCTTTTTTTAGCGTAACATTTGGCATAGCTTTCATTTGGTCAATAAGTATTTATTGGGAAACTATTGTATGAAAGATGAAGCACAATTTTGATTCATAAGTGGGACACAGCATTTACTTCGACACAGATCATGTTCTCAAGGAAGTTAAATCCTTTAGGAGAGTTAAGGTATATACACAAATAATTATTAACAATGTAAAATGTAATCAACTCCAAAGAAAGAATCAATTATCCTGAGATTTCAGGAGAGGAACAGGGTAGAACAGATGCCCGTGGTTAGCTTCCCAAGACTGGCCTGAGAGGGCAACAGAGCAGGGGTTACTGAAGTGTTATGAATTTAGTAGAACATGCGATATCCACCTGCTTTCTACATTTCCCAACTCAGCTGTTCACAGATGTGTAGTGTGCCTCACATTCTTTCCACAAAAAGATGCAATCCTTAAAATGTAAGTCCTTCCTGGAGTTGAAAACCCGTTGAGTTAGATTTCACGCAAATGTATAAATAACTAGATTTTTCTCTAAGAACATATTTTGATAGAAGAGGAAGAAGGAAGGCCAGAAGTAAACACTCTAAGGAGTAATGAGGCAACAGAGAAAAGAAATAGAGACCCAGTAATGGAAATACTTCTGGGATCATTTGTTTTATAGTATTGCCTAGGGGTAGGCTTGGGAACAATCTGAGAATCAAAAGGTTTGGACGGATTCATTTTATGTGTTTGGATACTTGTAATTATACATTTGTTTATTTTTGTAATTATGCTTTTAGACAAAGATGGGTGTGCATGCACAGGTATCTAAGTATGTTTTTGTATTTACGTGTGTATGTGCATTATACATGCATATGACAGAGATAGCTGTGAGTAGAAATGCAGATATGTTTGTTCAGACTAAAATCTATTAGGGTCATTCATTGTGTAAAAATTCAGTCTTGCCTTGGTGCTTCTGCAAAGAGGGCCAGCGTGAGAAGTTCTAGAGATAAGGGCTAGAAGCTTTGCAAGCTTCACTATCTTGATCAGAGGCACCCTAGGAGACCTAGCTGAGCCTCAGTTTCCCTTTATGTGGCACTTGGTGTTATAAATCCAAACTATTTTGGATGTATTTTTCTTTTAAAATTTTTAATGTTTATTTATTTTTGAGAGAGAGAGACAGAGTATGAGCCAGGGAGGGTCAGAGAGAGATGGAGACATAGAATCCAAAGCAGGCTGTAGGCTCTGAACTGTCAGCACAGAGCCTGACACAGGGTTCAAACTCACAAACCGTGAGATCATGACCTGAGCCAAAGTTGGATGCTTAACTGACTGAACCACCCAGGCACCCCTTGGATGCACTTTTCTTATGCCCTCTCTTCCACAACTACTAGAATGCTTCATCTGTCATAATCTGTTAACATTGCTTGTCTCAGGTCCCTGTCACTTCTGTGTCATGATACCAGAGGCAGAAGGGCTTGCTGTCCCTCATTATGTGTCGTAAGTGCGTTGGAGTTCCCTCAGGCACCTCCACTTCACCTGGTACAAACTTAGCTCATAATTTTCCTTCAAAATACCCGACCCTGGGGTGCCTGGGTAGCTCAGTTGGTTACACATCTACCTCTTAATTATTGGCTCAGGTCATGATCATACAGTTTGTGAGATGGATCTCCCTGTCAGTCTCTGCTCTGATAGCATGAAGCCTGCTTGGGATTCTCTCTCTTCCTCTGCGCCTCTCTCTCTCTTTCTCTCTCTCTTTCAAAATAATAAATAAACATAAAAAAAATCCCACCCTGCCTCCTATAGCCTCCATCTCAGCAGATGGTGTTTCAATTCACTCCAAGTCCAAGTTAGAAATACAGCTGGTTAAGCTCCAATCCACTCTGTCACTAAATCCTGTTCATCCTACTCCAGAAATGACTCTACTCTATGCCTGGTTTGATTCCGACCACCTGCCTTAGTTCAGGGCCTCATGACATCTTGCCTGAACCATCATAGGACCTCACAGCTCAGCTCCAGTCTCCTCTTCCTCCTACTTCTCCATTGTGCTGCAACAGGTTATTCCCCATGAAAACCAAACATGACCATATGACCCTTGCTCTAGAAACTCCTCTGCCTTCCCCTGGCTGCCTGGCCTACAGGTGAAGTTCAAGTTCCTTCTCCTGCCACATGAAGTGTGTAACGTCCAGCTGTAACACTCCCCATTCTTCCACACACATCTTAGGCTCTAGTTAGGCTGAACGTGTCCTAAGGTCTTACAATGCCATGTCTTTTGGAATCTCCTTTTGCCCACATGTTCCCTCTGCTGGAAATACCCTTCCCCCTACTCTTTTCTTGAGAAACTCCTATTTATCCTTAAAACTCAGCTCAACGCCACTTCCTCTGTAAAGTCTTCCTTACTCTGAAATTAACTGCAAAATCTCTTGTGCTTCATCTACAGCTCTGCTAAAGTTCTTAGTAATTCTTGCATGTTCCATCTTGTGGATAGGTCATGGACTTCTCTTGGGCAGGATCTGTGTTTTAAGAGCCACCGCCTTATACAGTAGTACATGATCAATATATACGATGGAATTCACTGATTATAAGGAGAGTTCAGAGTTTAAGTGTCACTTGCTGGATCAAACCAGAGTTTGCCTTCATATAGGAAATCTTCAGAAGGGGACGGACTGAGTAGGGGAGGGACAAAGTGTTAAGTCACACAAGCGGGCAAGGCCCCAGGAGCATTCTGTGCTCAGAAAGAGATAAACTGTGTACTTTATTGTCTGTAATTTACTTTTATATGCTCAGTGAAGACCCGGCTTAGCAAACCCCATGGGCCAAATCCAAGTTTTCATCTTTTAGAAACAAGTTTTATCTGAATGTAGCCTCATCTTGTTCACTTAAGTATTGGCTATGGCTGCTTTTGCACTTCAAACCAATTTTACTTTGTGGTCCTTTACAGAGTTTGCTGACCCCTGATATAGATCATGTGGTAGAAATGTGTATGTAAATTTCAACCTGCAATCCAGGGGCACTCTGCTGCTCTCATTGGAATTACTCATCTTGGAGTCAGTATTTAACCAAATAAAAATATATGAGTCTTTTATACGCTTTTTTGAACAGAGTATAAAAATCCAGTGAGTCCTATAGTCTGTCCCTGTGGGAATGGCAACCTAGACCTGGTTCCTGAATGGTTCTGGGTCCAACTGGTGACCTGGAGGTTTCTCAGGGCCTTCGTCCAACTAGATAATTATCTGAATCCTGATGCTGGAATATTATTGCATTTGCTAATAATGAATGTCCCATGGCCTTTCATTGAAGGACAGCACAGGGACTTCACTGAGCTCACAAAATAGGGGCATGACACCTGTGTGTCTCTTGCTAGAAGATGTCCATAGGTATAGTAGAAATCAGTCTAGACCTGTTTTGATTGTAACTTGGTGGGGAAGAGACCACAGCACTCCCTTACCAGTAATTATGGGAGGCTCTCTAATTTTCACCTAAAAGAACCTAATAGCTATGGCTCTTGACCTGACTGGCTGAGATCAGTGCCCAGAAGCTTGCTATGAGGACTGTCCTATTTGTCTCAACACATTTGGGGGGAGTACCTTCATGCACATGTGATTGAGGAGCTCTGAAACAGAGCACTCACCTTGTCCCATATGCGTGCACAGCCTCCCACCCTGCCCCCACTCCGAGCGAAGGAGGTGGAACCTAAATGAGCAAGAGCATGGCTTGGAACATGGAAAATGGCAGCTTGAGCGTGTGCACACCTAGAGGAAACTTGAAAGGACGCAGACTGTGGAGTGTCTACACAGAAGGATGAGGGGGAGTTGTGACCTGGTACAAAAGGCTCTGCAGAGCATGGCAACTGGGTGATTCAGAGTATACTGTTAATCTGTTCTAGCATGCACGATTTCTATGACGGTAGCTGGGGTATACTACAAAAAGATTATTTGCAACACTCAATAAATAATTATAAAATATGGAAATATTTTTTAAAAAACATATTCATGTTCATAAGCGCTAGAGCTATTTCAGAACTAGAAATATGAAGACAAAAGTACTACTATTTATAGCCAAGGACCCGAAAATACACATCCCTGCCTCATTTGGTTCTTGACACTGCAGGGCAAGACGGTCTTTGATGTAAAACAGAATACACAATTGTAAGCTCACAAATTAGGTAAGACAGTTACTCACGGACTCTGAAATTTCTTCCTGAGGCTCTGGAGTAGATTCACCAAGTTCTTCCTCCGGTATCCCCAATCCAGGTTGAAGTGATGGAGAACCCAAAACTTGAATGAGGTAGGAATCAAAATCCTCACACTTCTTTTTAAACACTTTTTGCTTCAGGGTGTCTTTTAAAAGAGACGTATAAAAGAGGGATAGTAGGAACAAAATATATTTAAAGAGTTCTTCCACACTCTCCTTAAAATAAATAGATACTTTCACATCGCTTGAAGTCAACTGTTCAATGAACTAAGTTTTAAAGCATTTTGGCATCTAAAATATTTCATTTTGGGGTGCCTGGGTGGCTCAGTAGGTATACCAAGCCCAACTCTTGGTATTGGCTCAGATCATGATCTCATGGTTCATGGGTTTGAACCCCACATCGGGCCCTGTACTGGCAGCATGGAGCCTGCTTAGGATTCTCTCTCCCTCTGTCTCTAAACATTTTTTATGTTTATTTATTTTTGAAATAGGAAGAGACAGAGGGTGAGTTGGGTAGTGGCAGAGAGAGAGAGAGAGACAGAGACAGACAGACAGAATCTGAAGCAGGCTCCAGGCTTTGAGCTGTCAGCACAGAGCCTGATGTGGGGCTCGAATTCACAAACCATGAGGTTGTGACCTGAGCTGAAGTCGAACGCTTAACCTACTGAGCCACCCAGGTGACCCTCTGTCCTTCTCTCTCTGTCTGTCCCCCATTCGCACTGTCTGTTTCTCTCAAAATAAATTTAAAAACTTAAAAAAATAATAAAATAAAATAATTCAATTTAATAACATACAACAGCCTATGTATAGGCAAAAGAATGACTTAAATCCTTGCTATCCAAAGCGTCAGTTAACTGAACTACTCTGTGGAAGGGGCAAGTCCTGCCCATAAGAAGTGTAATAGCCTATTACCTCTGGTTTTAGGGATAGCAAAAGGCCAGCCAGTCCAAAAATATATCCCTGATTGGCTAGAATGAATTCTAACTCCTTTGGTTAAGATGATAAAGCTCTTTAATTATTAAAGCATAATATGTCTGAAATGGGTAATATTTATGGCCATTGTAACACATTAAGAGCCCAGGGAGATTGACTATGTCAGATAAACCCACCGGTCACTGCAGTGTGGTAAGAAAATGAAACCCGGGGCTCAAAAGACCTGAAGAAAGGGAGAAGTGAAAGTGGGAAGGGTCTGAGTGAGGCATGTTATCCTTCCAGTGAGCTGAGTGAGGATCCAGAGGAGGCCAGGAGCAGCCTGAGGCAAAGAAGGCCAGTGCTAGGCCACGTCAGACCCCACTCCAGGATGGGTGGGGAAGGAAAGAGGGAGCCGAACCTAAGACTGCAAACAGATTAAGCATACATTTTACTTCATAAGCCAGAATGAGTAATCAGTTTCCAAAGAATTGGAATATTGCTGGTGGAACAGTACTGACCCTACTATAATCGTAGATGAGTTAGTGTCTTAGAATGACTCACTGGAAAATATTAGTTCATGTGAAAGGGTAAAGTAGTAAAGGGAAGCTCATCAGATTAGCATGATGAATATTAATAATGTTGTACTCTAAGATAAACTCCTGGGGCACTCCTGGGCTCAGTCAGTTAAGTGTCCAATTCTTGATACAGGCTCAGGTCATTATCTCACAGTTCTTGAGATCGGGCTCTACATTGGGCTCTGCACTCACAACATGAAGCCTGCTTAGGATTCTCTCTTTCTCTCTCTCTCTCTCTCTCTCTGCCCCACCCTGCATCTCTCAAAACAAACTTAAAAAAAAAAAACAAAACTCCTGATATCCACCTGTTTACTCTTCATTATCTTCATATTTTGTAAGAGCAAAGAATGGAAACTAGAAACCAGAATAGAATAATCCCAGTTACTTGTCTTTCTCATCTCTTTAGATTACCATAACTTTTTTTCATTCATCATGTACTTCTTAATTCATTTTGCTTCCATGGATATTTTCTGTTTTGCTGTTGGCTTACTGAATCTCTTATGCAAGTTAGGTAACTTTTTGGACATTAACTAGTCTTAGAAATACCCCAAATCTTATTCTTTCTTTTTAACCATGCCCTCAAACATAGATAGCCCAGTTAACAAACTCCATGGCCATCTCAGCACTTATTCCAAATGAAGAGAGAGTACAAGAGATTATACTCTCTAAGGCGGATTGATGCTAAATGTGTTTTACTTTCCAAAGTTTATGTGTTCAATTAAATGTCGGTGTAAGCCTCATTAGCCTTCTACTGGTTTCCATTTTTGGTCAGAATAATCCAGGGGCACCTGGGTGGCTTAGTCGGTTGAGCGTCCGACTTTCGCTTAGGTCATGATCTCGCGGTTCGTGGGTTCAGGCCCCACGTCGGGCTCTGTGCTGACTGCCAGCTCAGAGCCTGGAGCCTGTTTCAGTCTGTGACTCCCTCTCTCTCTGACCCTCCCCTGCTCACGCTGTCTCTCTCTCTCTCTCCTAGAAATAAATAAAACATTAAAAAAAATTAAAAAAAGAATAATCCAGTGATGTAGTACTTGGAAGAATAACATAAATTGCTTTCACCTGATGCTGAGTCTTACCTTGCAGGGTAATGAAGTCATCAAACTGATAAACATGCTCACTATCTGGGTCAGTAGCAATTAGATTCATTTCTTTGTGGAACATTTCAAAGTTGGGGTCATTTTTCTTCACTACCCCAATCACAAATATTTCCACATTGATGTCACTGGCTTTCTTCACCACCTCTGTCAGATTCTTTTCATCTCGAGTATCTGTCTGCCCATCAGTGATGACCAAGGCCACCTTCTTTACACCTGGCCTTGCGGCTTCAAACATGTGGTTAGCTTCATGGAGAGCTGTGGCTGTGTAGGTGCCTTCCCCCAGATACTGCATATTGTCCACAGCCAGCTTGAAGGCATCCTTGTTGGAGAACTGTGTCAAATGAGCCACCTTCTCGACCTTATGGCTATAGTTGATTATGCCTATGCGGGCCGTAGCAAGGTCCAGAGCAACCTGGTCAGACAGAGTCTTCACAAGATTTTTGATGATCTGGAAGTTCTCCAGCCCCACACTTTCTGAGCTGTCAATCACAAACAGCAGTTCTAGAGGAGTCTCTTTGCATTTGGGCCCACAACCTAAAAGGTGCGTTGAGGTAGAAATGTTGCATGAATGAAAATCAAAACTTACTGATTGGTATCAGGTTGGTATGAGAGAGGGGAGGGGATGAACCAGAGACCTGGATTATTACCTTCCTTTTCTGTGAGGGTTAACATAGCTAACAATTGTCCCCCATCTGGCTTCTATATCTGACTTAAAAAAAATGCTGCAAAAACAACCCCACAAAAAACCCCACCAAAACACAGTAGAGGATAAAATAATGAACACCTATGCGCCAATTTCTCAGATTAAAAAAATACATTTTTAGAAGAGATTGCATCCCTGTGTATGCCTTCCTAACAACATTCGTCTCCCTCTTCCGAAGAGATAACCCTATCCTCAGTTTGCTCTTTATCCTTCCAGCATTTGAACTGAAACAGAACCTGCAAGCTACTATTTAGCCTTCAATCATATCCTTATGTGAGAATTGCTACCGGCTCATTAGCATGAGCAGTGGGTAAAGTGATGGATTAAAAATGTTTAATCGTGGGGGAAGGATTAGGATCTGTAACTGTTCATCAGAATAGCTGCCACCAGCTACTGAGTATATGTCCCGAGTCCCTCACAGTGACCACTAAGGGGGCTCAGTGAGGCCAGCATCTATCCATACTATGAAAACCTTTTAAGAAGAATGATCTCAGACTTCTGGTCAATAAACAACTTCTATTTAGGGTTTACCATTCAAAGCAATCGTTAGAATCACCAGGAAATAAGAACTATCAGGGCTCCATTGGTTTATTCATATCCTTGAGTTGCCCAACAGCCCTACCACAAAAAATCATGAGGAAACATGGTGCTATTTTTACAGGGCTTCTAGAACTCAGAAGCCACCTCTAAATTGGCCCATCGCCATACAGAGTCCCCGGTGGGTTCTTAAAGCCCAGAGGTCTTTTGGGGGACAAGCCAGTTCAGGGGTTCTCTGAATGGAAAAACAATGACATTTCTGCCTCTGTCCATTTTAAACACACAAGTTTCTCGCATCTTCATTAGTCTATTAATCTCTTGCCTTTTGGCTAATCTCTTTTCTTCCTCTTTCTGCTAACTCTATTTTACGTCAAACAAATTTAGCCATAGAAGCATTTAGATAGAGCTCTGAAGCAAGATGACCTCCAGGCTCTGTCAGCCTGCCTTTGAAATGAAATGCACTCCAGAAATAGTGCTTCAAACTCCATTCAGAGAGACTTTTTGCTTCAGGAAAAACACAGACATTATAATCGCCAGCCAGGCTGGATTCAAATACCAGTTGGGCCCCTGTGGTCATATTTCTTTTGTTGTTTTTTTCCTTCCCAAGCTCAGGTAAATGTCACTGAATACAAATGAGCTCTGTGCTCACAAAAGGCCTGGCTGCCCACAGACTCTGGGGCCAGTATCTTCACTCTTCTGAACCACCCTGGGAAGATGAGTTCTTTTTTTAAATCAGGATTCCTACAGCCCCTCTCACTGCTTCCTGCCATTTCCCACTGACTTTTCAAAAGAGCTTCAAACTTTCCCATGAGCTGTATCATATCTATCTCTGGGTGACCACACTTATCTTGACCAACACAGAATGTAGTGGGGTTGGTACTTTAAAGTGATGATTCTCTTCTTGACAGCCAAATCTTACCACATATCTCAAAAATAATTTTGATAATTTCTTCTTTCTGGAGGACAAAAGAAAAATGTATTAATTATATGACCATAATATTTCTTTCTATAGTCCTACAAGCTATGTCTTACTGCAATCAGCATTGCTCTGTTTGCTTTTATTCTTTGACCAAAGAAAATAAATAGCACAGGGGTTAAAAGTTGGCCATAATATATCATAACTGAAATGTGTTTGTGTTGTGAAATGTCATAGCTCAGATTTTCTGAGTTCAGATGGTGGCTCCCGCATCTATCAGCTGTGTGATCTTGGACATTGGATGACCTAACAGCCTCTGTGCCTCAGGGATGTGGTGGATATCAAATGAGGCTACGTACACAGAACTCCTAGGATAGGGTCTAGCCCGTAAGGCACCGCTTACAAAGGTGCAGGCAATGTGTACAATCAGTTACACAGTTGAACCCACATGTGCCGAGCAACTAAGTTAAGTACTGGGACCAAAAGAGAATTCATTCTACACTGTATTCCTCTTTCTTTTCTCTACCACTGTCCAGTTTTGCAAGTCTCCGTCCCAGGTCCCTAATACTTTGACTTTGGCACTTCCATGAAATGTACCCGTGTTCCTGAATGTCCCTAGTCCTTCTGCCATCAGCCCCAGCAGAAGAGCCTGGGATGCAGCGGGCAGTAGAAATAAAGCTGCCAGTGCCCCACCCTGAGTAGCACATTCACGAACAACTGGGATGATACAACAGAAGGCAGGATTCTATATTTGCCAAAGACAGGAAGCTGACAGGACTGATTAACTTAATAGAAGCCCAGAAAAATCTCAACAGGAAGGAGGCATGAACCTGATCTAAGAAGATAAAATTTCATAGTTGCGAAAGTAAAGTTTTAAAGAAAAAAATCTATACTGACAGAATTGGGGTAAAGATGACCTCGCTGGTAAGGTGACTTAACAGAAACACGTATGGAAAATAGGGCATTTTAATTTAATTGCATTTTTAATTTAAATTGAGTAAAAGCCAATGATTCCATGTGGCCAGTTAAAAAGAACTTCCAATACCATCTTATAAAATTATATAAGATGAGGAAGTCATCAACATCACTGACATCTCTTTTGGGGGGTCTTGTCACATTTTAGCACATTTAGAGAGGCATTTAATAAATCTGAAACCAGGACGTGTCCAGAAATGGACAATGCCTATATATATAATAAATTTGGAAAGGGGAAATATATGTGTTTATGTATTTATGTGTAATTTTTTTACAAGTGGAGAAAATACTAGACACCAAGTTTACGATTACAGTTTTTCACGAAACATTATATCATAATTAATTTACCATATTATTAAGTATTCTGAAACACTTGATTACTGAAGTCAGATACATAGTCATCTAAGGCTCTTGATGCATCCCGCCAGAGTGACCTTCAGAAAAGGTGTAACAGACACTGCTGCCAGCAGTATGTCAGAAAACCTGTTTTATTTTAGACACACAATACTGGTTATTACTATGATATAATCTTTGCCATTTGGTAGAACAAGATATTGTGGTATTTTAAACTATACTTATGCAATTCTTAGTGAGGCTAAATTTTATTTCATAAGCACGTTTCCAAGTTGTATCCTCTTGTGCAAATTCTTTGTATGTCCTTTGTCCATTGTTTTCTGTTAAAATGTTTTTCTTTCACTGACTTATAAAAATAATTTCAATATCAAAATTGCATTTTATTGCTTTTCATTGTGCTTTTATGGCATAACAGGGTCTAAAATGCTTTAAGAACACACATATATCAATTTTTCCTCTTATTCTTTGCTTTTATGTGACTGAAATCGTTTTATTTTTTTCCATTCAAATTGCCCAGTGACTATTTTGGCTATTTTTGCCAATGAAGAAGGCATCAAATTTATACCCATTAAAAGATTCATGGTCTAGTAAGAAGTAGACAAATAAATACTTTTGTAAGAGTTTCGCTATTGGATTGGCGTCAAGGAGCCATGTTGGTCTGCTGGGATTTACAGCAGGCGGGGTGGGGACACTGGGAAACACTAGCATGTAAGGGACAGGTGGAGAAACAGGCTTTCTGAAGCAATTTGGCACGAAGTATTACAACATTGAACTCTGTCAATGGTATTTGCCTCTTAAAAGAGTAGTTTGCTAGTCTGGAATGAATCTACAACTGACAGCTGTTTGGGGATATATTTGATCAGGGAGAGAACATGGGTGGGAAGAAGAAAGGGGCCTTCTAAGAACAGCATTCATGAGGGAGCTGCTTAGATTTGGTACCAGACAAACCAACTCTGGCTATGAGGGCTCTGCTACTTGCTAGCAAGGTGACTTCAGGCACATGGCTCAAGCTTTCTATCTGACTTAGCATGTCTTTCATTGAAGTATAGATAACAGTACCTCATGGGGCTATCATATGGATTAACATGGAGTCTTGGGAAGGGAGGGGTGTGGCCTACAGCCTGTCCCTTTCTCATTGCACCCCCACCAGTTCTACACTGCTTGGGGCCTAGGCCAGAATTCGTGTGGTGAACACAGTTCTCAATTCTGAGCTGTGTCCAAATTTCCTGAAAGCACTTGCCGCTTGCCCACCTTTTGGGTGGACTCATGCATACAGGCCAATGCTGTCAGCTTTCCAAATGGGCCATTTAGGCAGGCAATTCTGGGATCCTGTGTATCCATAGTGTAGTATAGGGGGGCATGAGCTCAGGGTGGTCACTTTTGTTGGCCCTGATGACTCCTCACCCAGGAAAAAGTGCAGCTGAAAAAGCACTAAAAGTCCAGAGTGGGCCCTCTAAAACATGTGCCCCCAGGTACCTTACCGAGTAAGGGTGGTACTGATGTGAAGGAGCCTACACAGTACCAGTCACATACTAGATTCTCACTTAATGCAAATTCTCTCTTCCTTCATTCATCCTTCCCTGCTAGCCCCTTTTCTAGAATCTAGAAAGCCAAGATCAGCAGAATGACATCCCCATTTCTAAGATCTCTGCCTTTTGGCTAAAAATCGTCTGCTCAAGAGATAAAAGCTTAACTTGGCCACAAAAATCACATCGTTTTGTCTGCTCAGGATCTACATATCTACTCCTATCACAGCATTTATCAAGCTGCAGGTAAACATTGTTTGCTTGTCTTTCTTTCTAATGGGCTGTGAGCTTCTTGAGTTCAGAGACATAGCCTTTTTTTTCTCGATGATTCCCCTGGCGCCTGTCAGAGCCTGACTCAGAATACTTGCTCAATAAATGTCGGTGAAACGAGTGAACAAATGAATGGATGAAGGAAGTCAGACCCTCTCCCCATGTTGGGATAGGAGGGAGGGTATAAACCAATGTGTTCCTCTGCACATTTGACATACCCTCTCCCTGTTCCTCTGGGGGTCCCATAGGCATCTGGGGGTGTCTGACTTGTGGTGAGGAAGAATGAAGAGGAAAAGGCAAACAGGCCATAAAAAAGTGTGCATTCTCTTTGTCATATGTCTCTTGTTTCTTAGGTCACCACCTCAACTCCCACCCACCTACACCCGGATTCACTTAGCACAGCACCTAGGTCAGCATCCCCAGACCATGACCCACTGAACAACCAAAAAAGAGGGAAAAGGAGAAGGTTTCCATTGCTTCTCCACTCCAGGAGACGTAGTGCCTTCCAACAAGAAAGGACTTTGCCACAGAAATTCTAAAACTCTAAAAGCGCCACAGAGTGGGGCTTTAACAAGTCAGCTTTTTGTTTGCAATGATGCGGGAGGCACAGGGAAAATTTGTTGCTCACAAGTTCTGTTGACTAAGTGAATCCTTACATTAGAGTAATTCCTATTTTGTGATGGCTGTTCTTGGAGCACTTCCTAAAGGAGCTAGTTCAAGGAAACAGAACCCCCATTTGGGAATGTGAAGGATCATGTAAATTAAAAGTCATCTGCTTCCTTGGCTTCTTTTAAACAGCTCACCTCCTGTGACCATGTCTAGCAGGGGCAGAGGGGAGTAGCGGCCCATCACCACCAGGCTGGGTAAGGGCTGCCCGGTGTTATTTCTCCCTCAAGCTCAGATCAGTTACCTCATGCCCACCAACACTGGGCTTGTAGCAGTGCTATCATTTAAAAAGGAACTGAAACTCTGTGTCAAAAGAATTCATACATCTGAAGCTAAAACAAGAATGTAATAATTTTGCAAGCACAAACCCTCAATTACCCTCCAGATGGATACTCACTGTAAGTCCTGCGTCTCCCTTTGGTCCTTGTAACCCCTACTTAGAGGAAGAAGAGTAACAGTCAGTATCGGTTGGAACTAGCTGATGTATGAAATTACACTAAGACTTTAAAAATCACTTCTTGCCTGTTTTCCTGCGGATCCGGGCTCCCCAATTTCCCCTTTATCACCTTTCTTTCCCACAGCGCCCCGTTCTCCATGCTCTCCCTTTGTAATATAGTGAAAAAAAAGTTTATAATGTAAATATTAAAGCAAAATAAGAAAAACTCTAAAATTTGGTCATTTCCAAGCGGTATCTCTTAAAGACCTGTGCTTGTTGATACAAATATACTATAGGGAAAAAAAATGGGGAGCATTATATTGACATCCCCACCCCCACCCCCGACCCAGCTGCCTGGTATGACCTGGTACCATAATCTAATGATGAGCCAAAAATCTCCAGGTGAGGAGATCTTGAGATACTATTGGATAGGCTTGCTGCCTTCGGGAAGTTCAACTATTATAACATTCTACACCAGTTATCCAGGTTTTTGTGCATGGTATGTTGTAAGGATTTGTTCCTTTACCAGCTGGCTTTTAAGGATGAAGAAAATGAGGTTTTATGAAGTAAGCATGTTTGTAGGTAGGAAAGGAAATGCATAAGGATCTGCTTTCAAATGGATTTTTTCCTCTGAGAGCTTTAAGGATGAATGACCAGTAGAAGCGCTCTTCTAAAGTTTAGGTTAAGCTGTTGGGATCCTAAACCTAAGCATTTCTCTAAGGCCCTGAAATACTTACCTTCTGGCCTGGGAGGCCATGGCCTGTCATGCCCTTTGGCCCCGGAAAGCCTTGAGGTCCTTGCTCCCCCTACACATAATATGAAAAAAGGATCATCCCATTAATTTCCCAAGATAACTCAGAAAATTCTTTGGGTCAGATATGTACTTGCAGTTTCAGAACAGCATTATAACATTATCTAAATTGGGGGGGGGAGGGGTGCCTGGGTGGCTCAGTCAGTTAAGTGTCCCACTCTTGATTTCGGCTCAGGTCGTGATCTCATTCACGTGTTTGAGACTGGCGTTGGGCTCTGCACTGACAGTGCGGAGCCTGCTTAGGAGTCTCGGTCTTCCTCACTCTGCTCTCTGCCCCTCCCTCTGCCTTCTCAAAAATAAATAAGTAAACATTAAAAAAACAAACTGGGGGGAAATATGTATGTCAGCTGGGCTTGATTCTTTGCTAGGAAAAGTTTAACTTCTGAATCTAGGGTAGAAGTGAAGGAGCTGATTTGCCTATTTCTGTGGTGTAATTACTCCCACCTTGGCCAATTTCAAACTATGAACATTATCTCAATCAGTTCACAAATAACAAGCAGCTCTTATTTCAGCTATAATACTAACGGTGATTTTTATAACCTTCTCTACATTTTTCTGTATTTTTGACATGTTAAAAGCATGTATTATCTTAATAATGAAGGAAAAGAGGATATAACAGCATGTAGCTACCCAATGGATGCCAAAGAGCTGTCTATATAATCACTATATACTATTAGTTCCAGCCCTGATAATCTGTACCATGAATCTATTTATCTAAATTTAGTACCTCCTTAATTCCGAAAATAATTTTTTTTTTCATTCAGGATTTTAACTGCCCCCTCCCATAACTTAACATCATCTCCTGTTCCCTGCCCCCTGCCCCGAACCCACACAGATTTAAAGGGCTTTCATGATGCTGAGCATGAAACAGAATAACCCCTGATTCTGCTTAACTCTGGATCATTAGCAATGAGTCTGTGGCAAAGCTTTGTGGGACCATGAGCTCCTGGGATTTCACCTGCTTACCTTGAACATCTTTCTCAAAGGTATAATGACCACACCTACTAGAATCTCTGGGATGCCTAATGAAAACCTCAGAATCCAGGATAGGGGTAGGAGTAGAATATGCATTTTGCCATGGCCTCTTAGGGCTAAGAGCTGCTGCTCCAGAAGGCAGGATAGCTTGCTTGGAGACCATTGTAACTTTGAGTATCAGCATTCCTCAGCCTCCCTTCTTAGCTCATTGGCTATCAAACTTATTAAAAGCAACAGAATGCTTTCTTTTAAAAAGTATTAATAATAAATATTTCAGACCCATAAAATTTATACTGAAGAATGCAAACACTGGCCTATATAGCACCATATTAAAAAACGAAATGGTGCAGATATCATTGAACCCCTGATGTACCCAATTCTGTGTTCCTAACAAGAGGGGAAATCTTTTCTGAAGTTGACATGCATCACTCAGATCCATGTTTTTATGCTTTTACCACATACATATATATTCTAAGACAATGGATAATATTTAATACTTTAAACTTTAGATAAGTGATATATTTATGAATTCAGTTGTATTCTAAAACTTTTTTTAAGCTTGGCTACTTAAGAGAGAGAGAGAGAGAGTATGCTTGAGGGAGGATAGGGAGAGAGAATCTCAAGTGGGTTCAAGGGGACAAGTGGGATAGGAGACAGGCAGAGCCCAACACAGGGCTTGAACCCACAAACTTTGAGATCATTACCTGAGCCAGAACTAAGAATGGGATGCTTAACCAACTAAGGCACTCAAGCACCCCACATCCAATTGTTATTAAAAAAATTTTTAACATTTGTTTATTTTTTGAGAGACAAAGAGTGTTAGCAGAGGAGGGGCAGAGACCGAGAGAGTCACAGAATCCAAAGCAGGCTCCAGGCTCTGAACTGTCAGCACAGAGCCTAATATAGTGCTCAAACTCATGAACCACAAGATCATGACCTGAGCCAAAGTTGGATGCTTCACTGACTGAGCCACCCAGGCACCCTCCAATTTTTATTTTAAATATCAGCATTATCTATTTGAAATTTGTCTGTGTACGGGGCGCCTGGGTGGCTCAGTCAGTTAAGCGTCCGACTTGAGCTCAGGTCATGATCTCACAGTTTGTGGGTTCGAGCCCCGCGTCAGGCTCTGTGCTGACAGCTCAGAGCCTGGAGCCCGCTTCAGATTCTGTATCTCCCTCTCTCTCTGACCCTCCCCTGCTCATGCTGCCTCTCTCTCTCTCAGAAATAAATAAATCATTAAAAAAAGTTAAAAAAAAAAAAAGAAATTTGTGTACATATACATAGTTCTAGTTTGCAAATTTTCTCTGCTATACAGTATGCCATTAAATAATTAGACTATAATTTATCCATTATCCTAGTGATGGACATTTAGGTTCTTTCCTGGTTACAAATAACACTTCAATAAATATGCTCTTATACATCTTTGCATACTTGTACACATCCCTAGGAGGGAACCTTTTCATTAAAACAAATCTTATTCAGAGGGTACAAAATACGATGAATATAATTGGAGACTCCTGTGGAAATGAAATATATAACTTTTTGTTGGACCCAGGACTTGGCTAAATTTTTAGGTCCTTTTCATCTCTGCCATGTATTTCTAAATGGAAGGCAGGTATGGGTTTACAGTTTTGCCTCTTCAATTCAGCTCCAGAGGACTTAAACCAAGCTCCTCACAAAGGTCAGATTGCAGAGAACTCATTCGCCTAAGGTCTTTTTCACTTTGATAACTGTTAAGCCAAGCACAATACTGCGATAGAGTGAGCTCACAGTAAAGGCTTATGCAGTATTGTGCGTGGATGTCTCAGGCCTGAGGAGACACCCCACCCCCACCCCGGAAGAAGGAGTGGCCCCTCTGTTAGTTGCTTCAGTGGTGATAGGAGACAGGCAGAGATCACTGGTCTTCTGTATTCAGTTCATACTCAAGAGAGAATAGTCTCTCACCAGGAAACATGGTGGGATTGAGAGCCCCAGAGCCTTGGATAGCGATTGGTGCCACTTAAATAAGCCTGAGACAATAAACCCACATTCAGCTTCCAAGCTGGAGATTCAAGCAGGAGAAAGGAGAGGAGAAAAATATGTTCTGTTCCTGAGATTGCACAGCTAACACTAGTACGAAGAGGAATAGACAGGAATCTGTAGAGCACAGACCAACATCATTACACTTGCTGAAAAACATGCTCTAAGAGTGGATGTGCAGCCTCATCTTGAATACGAAGCATAGAAGGGTCTGTCTACATACAGACTGGGTGGCCAGTTCACAGAGTCATAGGCAGGGTGGTGGGAAGATACCTGCCTGAGATTCTGCCTGTTCTTCTCTGTTCTAATTAAAAAGAAAATAAGAACCAAAAGTTATATGAAATGTATCTTCTTAAGAAAGATGTGTCAGTAAGTGACACTTTGGCATAAATTAGTTTTCTCATATTTTTTGGTGGAGGTGTAGGAGGACATCTTTGTTCGACCAGGTACCTGGTTGAAAGGTAGCTTGAGGGTGTCAAGAAAATGCTTGAGCCCTCTGGGGCCTGAGTTGGGGGGATGGTGCCAGGAGGTTTCCTAGCCAGGCAGAAGGGGGTTGAAGGCTCATGAGGGAACACTAGAAGGAGATCTACCCTTGGCTTTGCTGTGGCCCGGAAGGACAGAAGAGCATGGAAAACAAAGCAGCTGGGACTGTCATCTGATAGCAAATTATCACTGGGAATTGCACTCAGACAAAGTGGGTCCAGAAAGAACTTGACACCTATTATTCAGAATAATTCTTTCTTTTACAACCTTTTGGATCCTATGATAGCTAATATAGGTGTCCAATAAATGTTTACGAGGAACCAGCTTCCTTTAAGAAATTACACAATTTCCTAGCAAACTAAAAAGCTACTGTGGCCTCACTGCCAAGCCCTGAGGGAAAAACCTCAAAGTAGCCACTAATCATGTTAGGATCAGCTCCATGGTCAGGAATTTATTTTGCATTACTTCACATTGTAGATATTTTATATGTAATTGTTAACGCTGTAGCTATTCCAGGCAGCTGGGTTTTCCTATAAAAAGGCCATTTTTTTTCTTTTTAATTATCAGTTTCCTTTCAAAATACTTGAAATCTTCCTATAACTTTCAGAGTGCACTATCTGGCTAATAGCAAGCAAACCCTTTGATTTAGCAGAGGTGAATGCTCTCCAATCATCTGGTTTTTTCCTTACAAGTCTCAGGAAAATGATACACAATTATTTCAGCCTGGATCGGATGCAACTACAGGAAAGAACCTGTCTATCTGAAGGTGTAATTAAATCCAAATTTCAAACCCAGCTTCTCAACCACCGAATCTCACCCTTAGATCCGTCCTGCTACATATGTGACCATTTTCTTTTTTTTTTGTTGTTTTTACAAATAGTTTATTGTCCAATTAGTTTCCACATAACACCCAGTGCTCATCCCCACAAGTGCCCTCCTCCATGCCCATCCCCCCTCCCCCCCACATCCATCAGTCCTCAGTTTTTGTCAGCATTCAAGAGTCTCTCATCGTTTGCCTCCCTCCCTCTCCCCCACCATTTCCCCCCTTCTTCTCCCCCTTGTTCCTCCGTCAAGTTCCTCCTAATCCTCCTATACGTGCAAACATATGATATTTGTCCTTCTCTGCCTGACTTATTTCACTCAGCATGTGTAGCAACGTGGATGGACCTTGAGGGTCACATGTGACCATTTTCATTGTTCAGATATTTAAGGTGCAGTAAGAAAAGGAACCAAGTTCGTAGATGATCCAAATCTATAAAATGAACTTCTGGCTTCCTTTAAGGGAAGTTTCTAGGAGATTGAAAAGGCTGTTTTCATTCTTAATCCCACAATAAACAAAATGCTAACTAATCTATGAAAGCACAACTTTTTTTGAGAGCATCATAGAGCTGGGGTCACAGCACAACCACCTTGCTCAAAATCTAAGGAAACAAAGGGTCCTCTGAGGAGAGACAGGGCACAGGCATTTACTTACCTGCTGGAGATATCAGATGTCACACAAGAATTTTCAGTGAAAAT